GAGGGAAGGGGTGGGAGGGAATATGCATGAGAATGCCCATACAATGTGTTACAACTGAAATAGCCATCTAAAAATTCATTATCCTAACTCAGTTCAGACAAAGAGCAAGTGAAAAAGGGGTGAATAAAAACCTACTTCCAACAAGCAGTAAAATTCCCTGGCTTTAGCAAGCAAACATGCTTACCATGAGAATTTTTCCCAAGGAGTCATTTTATGACAATTGTAAAGCATGGTTCTGTAACAGTGCCGTTGATTATTTAGCAGTTTCACACATTTATTTTCAACCAGTTTTTAAAAGATCTGGTACAGTGCAATTAGTAGTTATGAGGAATACTGACTTCACTTAAGGAAAACAGCCCTCTCCAAACGTGCACCTTTCAGATAATCCATCAGTGTGTGGGTGCTACAGTGGAATCACTCTAGGGTCACTGTTCCTGGGGCCTATTCTCCAATCAGTAACCAGAGCAAGGCTTTGCCCACCTTTTATTTCTGCAGTTCTGATACAAATGGTCCAGGTCACTATTAAAAATCAGCCCTATAAAGTAGAGATAGCAGGCTTATTCTGTACGTCTCATTCAGAATGAGACATCTATTACATATCCATCAGTTGGTTCAATAAATATTTGCCACACTTTGTGATGATAAATGACATCAACTTGCAGGGCCATGGTTACAATCAACGTAGGTCTTGCGGAGTTCATGAATTTTGTGAATTATTAACATCCTAATCATGAAGCCAGGTATGCTTGTCTCCAACCATGGACTAGTTCTCATTAGTAGTTATTGTAACACTACCTTAAATATAACAGACTTAGGAACATTACTCTGCTGGCAAAAAGTATGGCTCTTTAAAAAGTCACACATATCTTTAATTTGGTATTAACTAGAATTTTGGACAGGACATATCCACACCGCATTCTTCAGAGCAGACTGTTAAGAGCAGCCTGCCTCTGCGCAGAGAAATGGTCATGGTTCTCATGTGCTCCTGGTGGTAGTAAATCCATACACATGAGACATATCTTAAGTGAGTATATATATAATTTTTATAACTATGTATAAAATTATGTACATGACTATGAATATATATCTCAAAAACTAAAATCAGGTCTAGGTTCCAGACAAGCTTCTTCAACTATTCAAATGGAATAATAGGACGGAATACATTTGAAAAGGAATCTTCTCCGTCTCACATCTTCCATCTTATACCAGCCCCCCCCAGAGCTCAGCAGGGTCGGAGATACGGATCAGTGAGGCCCTGAAATCGATCCTCAGCAGTGCAAAAGCATGAACACTAACATTTCCAAAATAAAGAGTTTGGCAAAACAGATGAGCTGGGTCATTACTCCCTCTAGAAATTGCACAGTTTAAACTCAATGGGTTTACTTTAACGTGACAGGTGATAGTTTTGTTTTGCTTCATGCCATAGCCTCTAAGCAACTGCGGCCTCCTAATTTGTCCCAGGCATTGGTTAGAACTCAAGAACCCGGCAGCAGGGGAAGGAAGGTGCTTGCCAAGTGCTGCTCTCTTTGACTCTAAGGATTCACCCACGGGGCAAACAGTAAGAGCCGTACAGACCTAAGAGCCATACAAATTTGCTGGAGATGACTGGGTGAATCTCACCTCCATCCGATCCAGCTTCAGTTCGGCCGGGCACACTTACCAATGTAACCTGGAACCTCTTTGCCTTTATATGAGAAACAAAGCGTTAGATCCATGCACACAGAGGGCACTCCATTCTCAACACAGTCGAATTTTGTTCTGTTTATAGACTCAGGGTGGCTTAAAGATGCTTCAACAATTACTACTGGTCTTGTCCTAAGAAGCAAACAAAATTAGCCAAAATAATTGAAGAATTATTTCTCATTAAGATAACCGCATCTGTTTTGTCAGTTTCCAATGACCATGTAAATTCATTAATCTGCTTTATTAATAATGTATGTATACGTACTCGGTTACATTTCTATACACAGATTAAGAGAAAATTTCATCTAAATGTCTAAAAACATTAACTTTATCTGATAATTATCTATGCAAGATGCTAAAAATACCTTAAATTCAATAAATTAAACTTCAGGATATCACAAAAGAGTATCATGAAGACACTACCACCGCTGCTTTTAGAAATGGCCTCCCATCATTTACCATTAAGTGTGTTTGTCATTAATCAGTGAAATGTATCAACCTTACCTTAGCAACACAGCAGACTCAGACCGAAAAGCACCGACTGCTACATCTGGAAGGTAAAAAACAACCAGATTGATGATCACCATTAGTCAAAGAAAAGACTTTCCAGGCATAAATGCTTAAAACTGCATATCACCTTTGACTATCAAAATGTATTTACTGAAAATTAATTAGAAACGACATGCTAGCTTCTTAAGAGTTGCTCCACATTTGTCTGAATCTATATGCCTTGACAAGGGCATGGATCCATTCATTACATTACATAATTTTATGATATAAACTTATGATTTAAAGACAGGTCTGTTAAAATAAAATTTGGTTTTATGAATGGGAACTATTAACCCAGGAATTCCATTGAAACTAAAAAAAATTTTCTTGTCTTCTTTCTTTTCATCATTATATGTCTGACTGACTTCAGAGGTATTTTCACTTTGGTTTTTCAAGAGCAGGGAATGTAACATTAACAGTGTCAAACTGAAGAGTTACCCAATTGTTTCTGGCCTATCATTAAATTTAAGAAAGCTTTACAAATGCAGAGAAAAAACTCATCAATAAATTGAAGTCTTCCGTACCAGTTTTATGGGTTCACAATAGAGTTTATGCCAGTTTATGAAATGTGGTAAATTTTATACTCACCTATATATCCATTATTATCTGCATCAATTTGTCCTGATATAGACTGTCCGAACATACTTAATGATTCACTGATTTGAAGCGCTCCAATTCTCTGAAAAATGGGTAAGTTGAGCGGGAAGCAGTTTTTGAACATCTAATAGTCCAGAGAAGCGTGACTTTGCTACACGATGACCCTCCCCCACATGCCCTGGCATATTTACTGACAAAGGCACTTCCAGCTTGAAATGGGCAGTTTTATTTATTTCGTGACTTAAAATTTTTTCCTTTGTGAAGAAAATGAATCAAGTATGTAACTTCCATGTTAAAAATACAGAGCAACTTTCCCACTTTGGCCTAATAAAATAACAGTACTAATGTTTCCATTAAAAAAAAATCTGGAAAATTTTTTCTAGGAATGTGAATGCAGCCTTTTCTAATGATTGAAATTCTTTTATTTTTCAGGCTATAAAAGTGAAGTCAGGGTTTGATTAGGAACTTTTATTAAAATGCTATCACCTTACTTCTCCACACAGAAAAAAACATGGTGTCAAGTGCACGTTGGATCTCCCTGTGCAATCTTTACAAAATACAAGGCTGCAGCCACAAGGCAAGACACAGTTAATCAACCCCACAAGGACCTTCTTGGAGTAGTACCGATATTGCCTCAAGGGCACAAATGTAACGATATGTAGAGAAAAAATCTTTAATAAGCTGAAATCAAGAAAATGGAAGTAAAACCCTTATGAAAAAAAGTTTTAAAATCATCAGGCCCTACAGTAAGACCATTTACCAGTATCATAAAAACATGATGGAACAAAATATGTGTTTGAAAGAGCAACAAGGAATAAGAAAAATAAACCCACAAAAACAATGGAAATATTAAGGGTGCTTCATCACTGGTGCTTCTTTTGAACAATGAACATTGTAATAATTTACCTGGGAGAAGCTTGACCCGATGCCATCTACTCGGCCATTGTAAATATAAATGGCACCTCGCAAGTCATCTTCTTGTGGCGCTCCAATAGCAACATCTATTCAAGGATTCAATGGGAGAAAGAGCAACAAATTCTTGAGTCAAGGAGTGAGCTCTCAAATCTAACCTTCATGATACTTCGTTCATGGAAGAAAACTCCCTTATAAAGAAAAACACTCTTCTCAGAAAGAATGCAATGCTATCATCACCATCAAGGTACAAGATCGCAGAACAGCCTGCGCATGGAGGACAGGAAAGGATCCCCAGCCAGACCCCTAGAGTCTACCCTAGCTGTGCAAGATGAGCCCGTCCCTTACCCTCTCCTCTACAGTGGGACTGTTAAAAAGGCCTTGCTCAGGGTAAAAGAATTCACATAAAGGGTTCAGACAGTGTCAGGCTTAGAATATCATCTACGAATATTACACCTACATGAATCCTGCATTTGAGCTTGTAGTCTTTATTTGCAAAATGATGTTTAAATTAATCCATGCTCCAAGGGAAATGATCGTCGTGTACCTTAGGAATATCTGCGCACATGTGCGCCCCCCCCCCACAGGCTCTTAGAAAATGGATCTGTGGTGTAATAAAATGATGCAGCACCTTCATGAGTTTGTTGAAATTCACATCAGATTATGATGCCAAGAGAAAAGAAGTAGATCAATTCATATAAGAAAACTCAAGAGTAAGTAGAAATGCTTATGTGCTTAAGTGCTACAAATATATAGAATTACGGAGAAAAAAATCCTACACACTGTCAAAAGCATTATTTTAACATGTGTGGTGTCTACCTGAGTATATTAATTTCTATGCAATGTTTTTAATTACTGAGTGCAGACAGTTTGTTTTCATGATATTACTTATGAAATGTTAAACCCTTTAAACACCTGTAATGGCAATTTTTAGCTGCTATGTCAATGGAAATAATGTCTTTCATATGCAACCCTATGTTAATGTCCTAAACTTTTAAAAATGCAAAACTGTTTCTATTTTCATCTAAAGAGAAATAGCAGCCAAGACTCACCTTGTTTAGATACACTAAGGCTAGCCTCTTGCGACATGTGTGAATCATTTTAGAAATGTCACATACAAATCTCATGGACCAATTTGTATATACAAATTACATATATATAAGGCTTCTCAGAAGCAGACACTTGAGATGAGAATAAGGTGTTGCTAGGACATAGCCAAAGGGAAACTGCAGTTTACTCAAGAGAAAAGACCGTGTAAAGGCAGAGAAGTGAAAGAACACGTGAAGTATCTGGTACGGATGGGCTGCAGCTGGATCGGTGCAAACTAAATACACACAGGAGCAAAGCAGGAGGACCAGAAGGAGAGAAAGAGGAGGAGGAAAAGAGCTGACGCTGCGGTGGAGCGTCTTACAACCATGGAAGAGAACACCATTTAGCGATTCTTTTAGGGCTGACTTTATACTTCTATCACACGGCCTACTGATAACTAGTGCTCTCCACTTTGGTTCTGGATGACAATACATGTAAAAATAACAACCCTGGATCACCCCGACATCGTGACAGGACTGGTTATTGGCACCACTGATCTAAATTAGAGTGAACACCTTGAAACCATACAGATAAGCCAGCCTGGTAGAGAGACTCCTTCCTTTTATCCCAGCACTCTGGGAGGCTGAGGCAGAGCGGATTAAGATTTAAGCCCAGACTATGCAATTTAGTAATTTGTGAGACCCTGTCTCAAAATAAATAAACAAAATTGCTGCCGATGTGGCTCAATGTAAGGGACAAGAGATCAATCCCCAGAACTGCAAAAGCATGGAGGGACGGGAGTGGGAAGGTAGATACAAACAATAAAATTTAAAAAAAATAAGATGAGCCTTTTCGGCTGAACTATTTTGTTTAAAAGACCCAATTTTCTTTCCAAGACGACGACATTTGAGCATATTCAATCTCTGGCTAATATAGATCCAAATTCTTTACTTCCCAGAATTACAATTATATAATATACAAGCTGTCATTATAGAAATGAGGACGATACACTTGGTGTACACAAACAAAATACTTTTCCATTCCCCTCCAGATCAATTTCTCAATTTGGGACACAATACACAGAAGAGTGAGATGTTTGAACACTGTCTTTACTTTTTGCATCTGAATATTTTACTTAATTCATTCTGTTGGTGTAAATCTTAATGATTACCAATCTAAGCCTAATAATCACCATGGTCTCAGACAATACATGCGGGGCTAGGAGCTTTACACATATTTACTGGTGTAACTGTCACAACTACCTCAAATATAGCCAGACCTTCAAATTCAGCTGCATTGAAGTTCAATGACTTGGTACCCAACACATTTTGTCCCATCACTTGCCATTTGGTGCTAAGTTCACAAGCTAGAGATTGTCAGTGTCGATTGCCTCCTGATTTACCCTTTCCACCCAAAATCATGTGCTTGGTCCTCCTCATTTTTGATACTTGCCATGCATGTTCCTCGAATCAATAAACAAGGAGTCCCAAGGTACCACTAAAAATGTTTTAATCCCCACTTTACAGATGAGGAAACTGAGGCAGCAGGTGGAATGGTAGGGATTCAAAATCTGTAGTCAGGCTCTAGATTTAAAATCTCTAGTCTGTCCATTCCTGTTCCCACAATACAAAGTCATCCAGAACATGTGTCAGCCCAGTGTTTCCCGTCTTAGTACCTGGGCCTGGTGTGTGCCAAAGCAGCACTCTTTATATGATGTGATAATATGTCAATATTCATTTCAGGAGTGCATAAAATATGGTACTTTACAACTAGAGAACCTCCATATAGTATGATTCTCTTAAAAAAAATACTCACACATGTAGTCTAGAAGTCAATGAGTCTAGAAGTGAAAAAAAGAAAAGCTAAATGATTGTACAAAGGGTAGTAACGCAGTGAACATCTGAACTTAAAATTTATGACAGTAAGAGACACACTGCCATTCATCTCCCTCACCACACTCTGCCCTGAATGTACTGGACCCGTCATTCTTGCCACCTTCTGAAGCAGGTCTGCAAGTCCTCCTTCAGGTCTTTACCAGATCTGATCAAATGCATGATGGATGCTGCTGCCAAGTGCCACCCAACAGAAAGGCAAGGTTGTGAAAATGTGGAGTCCTGTCCACTTTATCCACTGGTGTGGCACAGTATGTGAATGAATGGTAAATGTTTTGAATCAAATCACGACAGCATAACTGAAGATACACAGGAAGGAGAACTTTTAGAACCGCTTCAGAAAGTTGCGAGAACGATGGGGTAGTGTGTACCAAGCTGAGGGAGACTAAAGGCAGTAAGTCTTTTACTGTAATATTTTTTAAAAATTTGAACATTCACTGTATTTTGCAAGCATACCTCATAACTTGTCATGCAAAATCCATTTTGCTCATGCAAGTGATGTTGTGTATCTGTTTATCTCATCAGTTATGTTGATGGGTCTATTTACCTAGTTATTTCACAACTTTCCCATATTTTGATGAGATTTTTACCCTGGACAGTTGTTGCATTGACTGGACATCTTGTTGGAAATGGACTTGCTTTTCTTCTCTAGGAAAGACAGTTGACTTTTTCTTTTGTGACAAATGCCAAGTTAAGATAGGATTGAAATGCAACACACCACAAAGTTTCAAATAATAAAGAAGCATTAAATATGATTTGAATTTAACACTGGAGAAGGAAGGAAACAAAGAGCAGGTGGAGTTTTCACTTCCAGTCTTCATGGTCCTAGGAGCCCCTCCATGAACACACACAATGCCATCTCCGTCCATCTACCCACCCCCCAAAACAGGATGAGACACAGCATGGGGCAAAAAGGGAGACACATTAAAAAATAACATGAAGATACCCTGCTGTCTCATCAGGTGGATATGCCAGAAGGGAATTTAGACTTTTGTAAAAAACTAGAACGCAATGACTCTACTTCCAAGTCACCATGGCCTTGCTAACATGTGAAGTGTAGAAAATGTCTACTCTCGGCAAATCAGAAATTAAAAGGAAAACTGCACGAAGTAGAAAAAAATTCACGGTATTATAAACATTCACCAAAATGTGAATGAAGCCGCTCGATGTAAATACGCTGTGAATTATAAATGGGATTCTAAATGAAACTATAAAAAGCACAAAATGTGGAGAAGTGTTAAACATGAGTTGAATAATAACCTTTAAAACATAAAACATGACCTTTAGGAGCAGAATGCTGAAGCTCTCAGAATAAGAAATGCACTCAGATACCTCAGTTCTCATACGGAAGCTGAAAGACTCCACTCTACCCTGAAGATCACCTCTGAAGTTCTCCTAGCTATCAGGAGCTGGGCACTTTCTCTTTTCTTCATACCCCTCGCAGATTGCTGGGGTCGTTCCCCAGTACTGGACTGATTTTAGTATGGGAACTTGCCTACTGTCCATAACAGTTTCATAACTCCTCAAAACAATATAAGTATGAGCCAGGTGTGGTGGTGCACACCTGTAATCCCAATACTCTGGAGGCTTACGACAGGAGGGTCACAAGTTCTAGCCCAGCCTGGATGACTTAGCAACTTAGTGGGATCCTTCACTGGTGTTCTTTATGGCACATGCTCTCTCTCTCAGAAGCTACATCTGACAAAAAATGAATGCTCAATAAATATCTCAGAATTGCTGGCAACTTCTAACAATAATTATAATGAAATTTCATACATGTTTAATTGTAATATGTTATGTGTGATCATAATAACCAAAATATCTACATACATATTTTCTCTTTTGTGTTGTTTTGAAATTGTAAAAAATAAATGGTAATATTTGAATACCAAGTTACACTATTTTTCATTTGAGAAGGTTCATTGGAAGCAACTGTTCAATAATTGTCTTTCTCATAGAACAACACATACATCTAAAGTTGATTGAAACAGTTAAGGATAAGAAGATTTAAGGGGAATGACAATTTATGGAACTCCCTTATTTTGAGTATCCAAGCAACTTTTACCCTCATATAAAACCTTACATTAATTTCCAATGACTGTATCAAGCAGACACAATTCTGAGCCCTGAGGTTAAGTATGAGATACTTATTTGCTGAACTCTAGGCTATCACTAACACCAGGAAATCTCACATTCCTCTTCAAACCCATTCATCACTGGATACAAAGTTTGAACAGACTCCGCTACTACTCAGTACTACATTAAAAGAAGCAGTGTCACTTGCTGGTGACATTTTGAGGGAATGCGGAGAGAGACAGCCATTTCCACAGGGGGGCTGAAGGCCTGGACAAAGTGCACAGCGCGACTGTATCATCTATTCAATTGCTGGAAGTTTCAATACCAACTGGCAAAGAGCCACTATCCCTGGATTGCCCAGTTTGCTCCTCGCCAGCACTCAGGACTTTCCCCCAGGACCCCTCAAATCTACATGGCAGAGCTGAACAGGAAATGCCCAGTACAAGATGGGGCTTCCAGGACCCCTTTGGCTGGGCAGCCAGGCTCTGAGGGTTTGATCAGTGCCTTCACTGTATTGATATTTAAATTCCATGGTCCAATGACTCTGTGATACACATTTCTCTTCCTCTTCCAACACCAAGATTTTATCATTTCTGAAACCAGGATCCTTCACGGAACAGGAAAAATAAAATGCTGCATGTTCAGACAGCGTAATAGCATTTGTAAGGGTAGCTAATATAATAATGCTACTTAATTAGTGGTGCTTTTGAGTCAATGACATAAGGCCTATGAATGTCATCTCTCATGCTCACAATCAGCAAGTCAGACAAATACTACAAAGAGAAAAAACACACATATACCACCCTGGTTTCTTTTTCAATAGAAAGGCAAACACAAAACCTCAAACATATTCTCTTCTGTGAAACATCTGAAAAGCTGAAACCAAGTACCAAATTACACACTTTTAATTACCTTCAAAGCCATCATTGTCAATGTCACCGAGATTAACTATAGATTCCCCAAATCTTGCAGCGTATTTGTCACTTCCAATGAGCTCTGTTTCCATTTCATTCATTACTGCTCCCTAGGTAGACAGGGAGAAAAAAGGTGTCATTGTCACACTCCCTGACAATTTTACACATGATTTACTGCTGTAATTGGTTATGGATTTTTTCTAATGCACCAAACAAGATGGACAAACTACAGACTGAGGTTTAGTACACACATCTCAGTTCAACTCGATAAATATTTATTGAGTATGTCAACACATATAACACTATGATTAGAGAGCATAGGACATAAAAACTGCCAAAGCCATGCTCCCTGGCTTTGAGAATTCAATAAGTCATTTTGGTAATTCAATTTAACAAATCTTTATTGAGCTCTTACTAAAGATAATGCACTATGTAAGGCGAACAGGTGAAAAGGGACAGAAGTATGTGTATAAAACATGCTCCCTGCCACAAGAAGCCCACAGTCACAGGGAGAGCTTAGTGCAGCCACGTTAGGGACTCAGACTAGCACTGAATGACAAGATGTATGCAAGGGAGACAAAGAAGACCATCAACAAGAAAACATGAAAGAATACCCAGAAGAGATTTCACTAAGAGTATCACACGCAAGGTGGCTACTGAAAGAAAGAAATAATTGTGATATTCAGAAAAACACTCCTGGCAAGTCACAAAGTTCCAAAGGAATGGTATGTATGTATGTATGTGTGTGTGTATATAGTGAGACAAAAGTCAGATTGTAACTTAATAGGCTGTAATTTTTGATCAGGGAGGAAAATTTGTACAGAGTTTCACTATGTAGTCCAGGTCAGCCTTGAACTCACTCTGAGACCACACTAGCTTCAAACTCATGATCCCCCTGCTGGACACCCGCCGCCCCGCCGAGTGCCAGGGCCACAGGCTTGTGCCACTACCGGGAAATGTAATGTGAATACTGAAGCAGCTCTGAAAGTTTCCCACTTGAGGACTGACAAGATGGCCTTGTCCCAGCCAACAATGGACCCAGTAAGTCAGCCAGTATCTCAGTAGACGCTGAGCTTACTAATGTAATACTGAGCTGCTGCAGTACAGCTACTAGTCCCCTTTACAAACTCTAATCATCTCAGAAGCCGGGTGTGGTGGCGCACGCCTGTAATCCCAGCACCTGGGAGGCTGAGGCAGGAGGATCGCTGTGAGTCTGAGACCAGCCTGGGCTACATAGTGAGTTCCAGGTCAATCTCAACTACATAGTGAGACACTGTCTCAAAAAAACAAAACAAAACAAAACAAACTCTAATCATCTCTGTTCCTCCTCCCCCCCAAAAAAATGCACACAACACTCATCATAGATCTTTTCCCTAAAAAGCTGTCATTCCCTAAACACACACACACATACATACACGTTCCTCCCTCATGAAGTGCTCATCACCTCTTATTTTCTAACTGAGAAATTCCTACTTTTGTCTTGCTCAAACACTACTCCCTCAGGAAAAGCTTCTTGGCCCAAAGCAAATCACTTCCTCCTTTCTTACGGACTCATCACGCATCACTGGCCACACTGTGCCCACTGTAAACTCCCAGGTTTGGCGTTTTCATCAGGTTGAGGTGCTGGAGGTCAAGGCAAAAACTATCCCCAGCTCCTTCCGCAGTCCCTGTCACACTGCACAGGTTCACTGCCATTTACTTTATTCAAAGCGGACGAAGACGATGGAATCACCTTGAAAGATGCAATCACTGACATCAAAGCAGCAGGGGACTGAATCAAGCGAGGAGAAAGAACAGCCTGCTCCTGGGGAAATTTCAAAATCAGCGGGAGAAGGGGCACGGGAGGGCAGATAGTACAAACACAAGACAACACAGTTCAGGGTGGAGAGTCTGAAGAGAAGTGGTGAGCACTCTTCAAGTACCCTCTAGTCCCAGAGAGCAGTGATCAGGCATTCCCTGGGGACACCTGAGAGCTACTTTAGTAGAAATAGGTAGAAGCCAGAGTCAGTCACTCAAGTGTCATTCTTCCTCGAGTTCATTCAAAGATAATTTTGGAGCACCTACTTGTCCAAGACTCTTCGTAGCCCTGAGGAAATAGCAATCAACAAGATAGTGACTGCTCTGCATCATGGAGTCTACACTCCAGTCGGACAGCAACAGCAAACCAGATAAATATATCGCGTCACTTGGTGGTCAGTGCCTTTTCAGAGTCAGCAAACCGAAGGTGACCGAAGATGGAACCAGAGAAGTCTGATCCACACAGAGGGCTTCAAAGCTGAAATCAATAACTAAACTCACCGCACTATTCAACAGCGGTACCTCTGGTAAGTGTGAGGGAAGAATGCAGTGGTAGATTAGTGGGCAGTGCTCCTCCCTTGTTCTTTTTTTTTTTTGTACCGGGGATCAAACTCAGGACCTTGTGCTTGTGAGGCAGGCAGCAGAACCACTGAGCTAAATCCCCAACCTCTGCCTTCCTCTTTAAGCAAAGGAATTGTGACTATTTTTCATACCAGGAAGGTGTAAGATCTCAGTGGAGAAAAAGTTCCTATCTGCTTTATTTTAGATGTGCATTCTGCTATTTAAACCATTCTCAAAAAAAAGTTGAGTTGCAAACAGAAGGAGAAATTTGCAGCATGAGTAAGTAGCATGTATGTGAAGTGTGAAATGTCCATGGAAGACAAATTGTCAGGAACCACTATGACTCAAATTCTAATGCTGATCGTGAAGATGGTAGGCCTTTACTCTTGAAATTAGCTTCAAATGCAGCCTAGGAAATCCTAAGCATAAGTGAATTCCCTACTCTGTATTTAGGCTCCCAGGTTCCTAATGCTAGAGTGCACACACGATCTCTCTCTCTAATTGTACAGTTTAGTCTGATGCTTAGATTAGGAACTTATTAAGTGTCTTGAAACCACTGATTAAGTAACATTACAAGGACCTTCCTGAAACAGATTTTACTTTGTTGAATCCTAACTGAGAGACATTGTGCCATAGGAAACGAACCAAGTTTCTCACAAGCCTGCTCTTATTTTCAAATTAAGGAAACAGGGTGAGCACATACATCCCATTAAGGCCTTATCATTTCTTTGTTTTGATTTAATGTCAACATAAGGCCAGCAGAATTCTTTAAACTGAATCAAGACCTCAGTTTCTACTTTAAAATATGGCTCATGATTTAAAACTGAACCACTGTCAGTAATTACCTATTTCAGCAATTAGGACATTCACTTTGAAATCAACTACCAAATTCGCATTCTTTTAAAAAATGCATACGTCCCAGCACTCAGGAGGCTGAGGCAGGAGGATTGCTGTAAGTTTGAGACCAGCCTGGGCTACATAGTGAGTTCCAGGTCAGTCTCAACTACACAGTAAGACCCTGTCTCAAAAATCAAAACAAAACAAAAATGCATAAGTCATCCATGAAAATTTTATCTAAATATTTCTAATTGCTTTCAAATCAAGAATTTAAAGATATTTAATTCTTGATCTCCTAGTGATCTTTTATAATTTATTAAATGATGTAAGGACTTTACACTGTTTTTAAAAATCCTCATTTGGAAGGATAAACACCATTCTTTCAAATAAGAATTGTGTCAAAATAAAACTAGAAGAAATTTTAACTACTTGCGATCATACATACAGAGCGGAGAGAGAAAACAGGTCTTTCTGGAATATACAAATCAAACAGCTGCCTATCCAATCACAACGCTCCATTCTCTTTTCAGAGGACAACAATACAATATTACCATTTTTACTTTTGTTGGTAAAGTAAGACTAAGCATCTGTAGTTTCAGAACTTTGGAGTGAGAACAGTTTCCATTCCCGTCACAGTTCGGGGAGCGGCTCATGGTTTGGGGCAGTCAGTCAGCCTCACTCACCGCACCAGAGTTGATGAACACGAACACTCTGCCCTCCTCCCTGACTGTGCTGTGCATGGGCGCTCCCACCAGCAGGTCTGAGAAACCATCTGCGTTGAGGTCCACGGCACAGACAGAAGCCCCAAAATAGGAGCCCAGCTGTTCCAAAGCAAACCACATCCGGTTATTAAGAAGCAGGCTTGTTCACCAAAGCCCTGTACTATACCAAAGGTAGAGACATATTACCTTTTTACCTTTCATTTCATATAAGATATTTAGTTCTTTGGCATCAATGCTGAATATATAGGCCTGTAATTGGGGAAAAATTAAAAGAGTTTATATTGGCATCGAATTCTCTTATTAACAATATACTTATTTTTGTTGATCAAAATGTTAACTTTCAGGCTGGGGATTTAGCTCAGTGGCACTGCGCCTGCCTCACAAGTGCCAGGTCCCGAGTTTGATCCCCAGTACCCCCCCACCAAAAAAGCTAACTTTCATCTCCAGTAATTGCTCAAATATAACAAATATTGAGCTTTTTATTTAAAATGGTAAATATTACAAAAATATTTTGAGCGGTATAAAAAAGCACAGGGACACATTTTCACAGTGATATGCATCATTTAGAGAGCTAGCCTCTCAGAAGTTATCTTACTGACCCCATAGATGGCACGGAGAGTGCTGTTTGTTACACTTTCCCAAAATTAAGGTGCATGGAGATTGAGTGGCCAATACGCACTTAGCAACTTAGGAAAAACTAGAACCAGAAATAATTTTCTCTTCCCATCTTACAATAAAGCATGTAGCTACTCCAGATTCCTTTCAATAAATGTTACACAGTAAATCTATTCCTGGACACCTGTTTTGTAATAAACTTATAAGGAAATCCTCATTTGACGTATATAATTTTCCTTAAAGCTTTTCTGCTAAATTTCCCTCCAAAAACCATAAATATTTCACATATTCCACTAATGCAATACACAGTTATTTCTAATCTTTCATTCCTTTGAATTTTTGCAGTTCTTCTAATATTTATTACCTCATATGGTTCACCAGAACCTTTGGGGGGAAAAAGATTAAATGTAATTCTTACTTTACCAATCTGTTCATGCTGAGGGGCTCCTCCAACTACTTCTGTAGTATGTGGACTCCGAAAGTGACCAGCACCTACTGAGTAACCTTCAAGAGAGGGGATAAAAGTATAAGTGTCATCATTCAACACAGATAAAGTATAGACCTAATCTACTCACAGAACTAAATGAGACTGAGTTCAAAATGACATTTACCAGAATTTTAAGCCTGCTCAGCATAATGCTGAAAGTTCCCATTATGTTTTAAGCAATTTTGATAGATAGGTTATGAAGCCACGTCGTCTGTATTTCCAATTCCCAGAAGTTGAATATATTACCCCAGAAGTTGAAAATATTACCTTTGCATTTGGTTTGTGTAGTAACAGCAATCAGTTTTTAGAATTACAACCAAAATATCTGAGTATATTAAAACATTTTAAGCTTTAAATCTTCCTAATTTTCAACTTTTGTGCTATGAAATCTTTCTATTGTCACAATTTCATGACACAAAGGTAAACTACTTTAATTTCATGTGCTGAAGGCACACTATCAAACTATTTTGTAAGACTTGAAGACCTGCTTCATTCGTAAATGAGAACATGTAGAATTACGAAGTTCTGCTTGAATGGGAAAAATGCTGTCTTTTATGATATTTATATCTATATAAGAGGTACACACTTGCAATACATACAGTGTAAATGATTTTTAAGCAACTATAGGAAAACCATTTATAGTCATGAGAAGTAATGCCAAAAATGTTTGTATTTCCATAGAAATATCAAGTATGAAATAATAATGAGGAGGAAGAGAATGATGTTGATTAAAAATAGTTAAGCTCTGGGAAATAGCCCAAGAATCTAAAAGGCAAAGGCAAACAAGCAAATTTTAGACTATGCTTCATAATTTTACCTTTTACCTAGAATGCTGTCGACAGTCCCATCAGCTTTCATTTGGTCTTTTAAGAAATTCTACATAGTTAAATGTTACATACATATGTATGTGTATGTGCATAGTTGAATGAATTTATATAAAACTCTTACAAAAAGTTTCTGGGACATAAGACATAGTGCGCACAAGTTGAGGCTAGAAATAACTCATAATAAGTTGACCACATAAAGATGTGTACAAGTCTGTGTTGCCTCAAGTGAACTACGAAGAGGAGGCTACCTCAGGAGCTCTAGTTAATTATGAAGATGGTAGTCACAAATGTCAATGTAAAAGAATACATTCCCTAAAATTCCACAGAATTTATACTTAAACTAGAGACAGTTTCTACATACTGGCCATGTAGATCCTTCTGAAGATACAATATCCTTTCGTTATAATAACTATTTAACTCCAAGGCAGAGAGAATTTACATTTGTCAATTTACTATACCTAAATAACTTCCAAATTTTACTTGATTTTGCTTGTCTACGAAGGCTTTGTATTTATTTGCAGTTATATTGTAGACAAAAAGAGAGCCAGTCCAATAAGCTGATCCTGGAGCTCCCATCACAATCAAATCCTGTATGTAAAAAGAAAAAAAAATTTAACAGTTAAATATCACCACTCAAAAGCAAATAGTGAATAGGGAGGGCAAAACACTGAGTAATACATTGCTGAAATATGAATATTTTTTCTTAACTTAAAAATACATGACAAAAAAAAAGGGCCAGGAAAGTTGGCTAATGGTTTCTCATTTGAAAACAGAATTTAAAAGGAAAATATTCTAAAACTGTCTCTTCAAATTTATCCAGTGGACTTCAAAAGTCATAGGTAGTCTCAGTGAACAGTAGAGTATGCTTCTAGGAATAGGGTAATGTGTTTTCCCCCAAAGAAAATCAAATATGAGAGATTGATCAATGCTCTTGCTCTTTAGGAAGATAATCAAGTGTTGCCAGAGTGGACTTATTTCAATTGTGAAGACCACTGACTTGGTTTCCTAAAAATGTTAAGACAAGAGTAAAAAAGTTTATTAAAAATCCAGTGGAATTTGAGACCTATTATAAATAGGAATTTAAGAAAAAGCAACAAAAGGTTGGCATAAGGAAGCCTTAGTCTGGTACAGCATGGAAACTTGTAGCAATCAAGTCTATTTATCATGTTTCTGTACTTCTTAAATCTTGATAATTTAAAAGTAAATTCAAATATAAACTAAAGAAAGCACTACTACAAGCATTTAAAAACATAATGACATCGTATTTTACAGAAATTATTCACCTAAAACTTGATAAAGTCTGATCTCCACAGAGTTAGATGATATTCATGAATTCATGATGGAACTTTAAGAGAAACCACAAGATTTGGGAGTTAAATATAATTGTGACCTTTCACAGTATGCCACAAGAGTTCTAATAAAAGAAATCAGAGTTTGGGTATACCTGATTTAAGAGAATATTAACACATCCTTAAACATCCCAATTGCAATATAATGAAAAATGTGGATTCATGTATTTCCCTCCCTCCATAACTGATAATAAAAATAAACTTGAATAGGTATTTTAATTACCTAACAAAAGCTACATAGCTACTTTCGATTTCCATTAAACTACTAATATAACCTATACTCTTTAGCATAAATTTCTACTTTTGAGTGGTATGACCAAAAATATTAATTTTCTCAAACTATATGAAGTATATTTGGAGTAAAAATAGAATATTAACACTGGTAAATTTAAATGATATTGAGATTATACACAATTTTTACTTCAAAGTGTGGCATTGGTTTTTCTAAGTCTTCAGAAGAAAGATATTATATGTAAACATTCATAAACAGCCATATTTTGATCCATTACCTCTGTGAAGAAACTAGATATTCCAGCTTGACAAGATGCAAAGTGTTCTCCAAATTTTCTCACATAATCTAAAATTGAATATAAAAATGATTCAGGATTACATTTTTACATAAACCACAATTTTGCAAGGTTTTTTAGAAATCCTTACAAAGATGCCTTTTAACGTCTGTTTTGTACTATCCCATTTTAAAAAGTAGCAACATAAAATCTAAGCTTACACAACTCGTATTGGTCTTCAAAATATCACCATGAAATGGCAATAAAAACCAAATCTCCCTGTGCCTCCTCTTGAGAATGTGCAGTTCACATGCCGATATTTGTCAAATGAGTAAGATATAAATTTAAGGTGTAAAACATTACGTTCTGTTGTATAAATATACAGTGAAATTACTCCAATAACATATCCATGTCCTCACAGTGACCTTTCTTTGTGTGTGGTCTAAGAGTCCCAAATCTCTTCTATGGCCAATTTCCATGACACACTGTAATATTAAAAACAGTCCACACCATGCATGAGGTCTCCAGACTTTATTCTTTTTACGTAACTAACTTGAACCCTCTGACCACCATCTCCCCATTCCCACCTCGCCTCCTCACCAGACAGCCACCTTCCTGTCTACGTATTTGACAGTTTTTGATTCCACATGTAAGATTATGTGTTATTTGAACATAATGCGCTTCAGGTTCATCCCCGTTGTTACAAATTTTTTTTTTTAAGAAAACTCCTCCACTGTGTGTGTGTGTGTGTGTGTGTGTGTGTGTGTGTGTGTAGGTGAATGCAAACATATACCACAATCCTTTTCTACTCACTTGTCAATGATGAGCAATGACCATGAGTGCAGATATCTCAATGTGGTACTGATTTTATTTCCTTTGGATCACTGGATAGTTCCATTCTTAAATTTTTTTGTAATAGCTGTCCCAATTTACACTCCCTTCATTCAACAGTATGAAAGTGTTCAAATTTTTCATTTATTCCAGAGCTTGTTGCACTTGTCTATTTGATAAATAACCACTTTAACAGGTGTGAGGTGATCCCATTATGATAGAATTGTGCATTCCCTTATGATTAATGACACTGGGCATATTCTGATGTATCTAACAATTTTGATGCTTTCTTTGAAAAGAAAGTTATTGGGGATTTTTGCCCATTTTTAAAATGGGTTTTTTGTTATCAACTTGAGTTCTTTGTGTATTCTGGATATTAACCCCTTATCAATTACATATTTTTCCCCATTCTATAGGGTGTCCTTCATAATACTGACTTTTTCCTTTGCTGTGTAGAAGCTTTTTATTTTTATTTATCTCATTGTGTTTATTGGTACATTTTAGGTATACAGTACAGTTATATTCATTATTGGGATCTTGTGCCCTTACATGACAAGTCTTGGTTCTCAGTTTTTCCCTTTGTTCCTGCCTTCCCGAAGTTTTTTATTTTGATGTAGTTCCATCAAAATATGGAAATCATTTTCCATACCAATATCAAAAATGTTTTCTTCTATAGTTGCCTCTAGAGTTTTATGGCTTCAGTTCTTACATTTTTAAATTCCATTTAGAGTAGGCATTTGTATATAATGCCACAAAAGTTTTTTAAAAAGTTCAACTTCATTAATTTGCACTTATTATCCAATTTTTTCAACATCAAAGAAATTATACTTTGTTATTTTCCAAGTTGGGGAAAATTGTGGAATCAAGGCCAAAACACAGGGTCTTTGTTACAAATCCCTCATGAACGAAGTCTTTTGGGGCTAAGGGGACACAGTTTTGCTTCTTTTGAAGAATTGACATATCAAGAGAACAATCATGATCACAATGTTTGGGTTTTAAAAACAAGGGAATTTAAGTAAATTGCTTTGTAATGTATATTAACTATCCCTTTTAACTATATTTTTCACAATTCTGGATGTGTCAGTTTTATGTCATCTTGAATTTTACTGTAAGAGGGCTAGGTGTATCTAAGCAAAAAAAAAAAAAAATCTTTTGTGAAAATGTTTAAAATTGTAAACCAGAAACTATTCAGCAAAAGATAATAAACATACAGAAACAGACTAACCTCAACTGAGAATTTAATATTCACTTTTTGTCTTCTTGCATCTAAAGATAAAATAGGAATATGCGTGATGCAAGCTCTCTGTGCCATCAGATTTGAGGGAGGGAAGACATCAGTATCATTAGAGTCAATAATGGAACTTGGGGCCAGAGATGTAGCTCAGTGGTTCTGACACCTGTCTCGCAAGCACAAGGTCCCAAGTTCAATCTCCAGAACCAAAAAAATAAAATAAAATAAATAATGGAACTCAGATACCTGGCCAAATTCTTGCCAGTTAAAGAAAATTTTCTTTGATTACTAGGATTTTATTTCTGGTTTTTTGGTTATAAAAATTAGAAATTAGCATTCATATTTTTCTTGGTCTCACCTAAGGAGAGATTTTGAGAGATTGTTTTGTTGCAGATATTATTTTTAAGTGCTCTGTAGACATTCACCACAACATTGATCATTTCTGTGTTTAAGAACTAGATCTGAATATGACGTATGTAAACAGAATTTCTAAGGGAAACGTCTTTCACACTTTAGACACTTATCTCCTGTTATTTCAAGGAACATATGAATTGGAATAAAAGTGGGAAAGACTTGCTTATACTTAAACTTGAAATATTTTGATTACTCCCAGAAGCTGGAGTTAAACCAAGAAACCTAATCTCTTTCCAATCAAACTTTTCAATGTAATTGTACAATTTTAAGTGTTCTATATTTATTGAGGCATTAGACTGACACTGACAATAGTAAACTACAAAAGTGGATAATTATCAACTAGCTTCCATAATTATTCAAGTAAGCTGTAGAATTTCTACTCCAAGAGCATAAACTACTTATGAAAACTAAAGCTCCCTGCAATTGGGTACAGAAAGGAAGGAATACTTTGAATAGTTTAAAAAAAGAAAAAGACGAAAAAGCTATGTCAAAGGTCTTCCTCTTCCTCTAATCACTCACAACTGAAAATTTAAAATAACCAGAAAGGCATCCGCTTCCTCCTTTTGATGTAGTTGATATCCAAATCAAACCTCACCTTGGTAACATGGAGCCATTCTTTTACTGAGTTCTGTTCGTAAATCAGAAGGCATTCCATAGCAAATACCAGTAGGGAGCTTATTTTCATGCCTCATGTAAAATATATTTTTCCATCTATGACCACAAGTCTGAAAATAAAAGACCAAATGGTGTAAAAGTTGCACCTTAGAAATCCAATTTCAGAATGATCCAGTGGGTCAATTCTAATACCTACCACAATGGATCCATTTTCTCCTGGCTGTCTGGAAAGTGTGACCCCCAGCCACTGATTGTCTCTTTCCTCCAAACATGTCTTTCCACAGGGTTCTCCAGTAGGGCTACCTACAGCATTTGAAAGTAAGTTTATCATCAGTTTCCTTGAAGACAGTATTATTTTACAAGAATAAGGAAAATAAACCTCGGCACTCGATATCTCCAATGTTTTTCCTTCAACTACTTCTCACTCATCTTATATTCAGCGTGCAATGGGGCGGGGTGCAAGTCGCTCTGCGCCACCACAGCTACTTTCTCCGACCATGTCATTTTTGTTTGTAAATGACCGAGTTGTAGAGCGCTGGCCCCAGTGGTAAGAGGAGGTAACTATGAGTAGGACAGGAAGCCCTATGAAAACCAGCACAGGCTGTGCAAATACAGCTGTGGGGTCTGAGGCTTAGGATTTGTACTTTTGTTTTAACCATTACAACATAAGCAGCATTGCCGGAGCATTTTTCCCAGTGCTTCGGTATGGTCCTCTGGAATGAAGGCAGAGTTTATTGGAGCCAGAAAGCAGTGGCTGAGCATGTGCAAAGTGGAATGCAGAATTAGCATACTAATAATGCACAGCTTTTAAACTGAACTACCTCAGGCTTTACATTGGGTGGAGTGTGACTCATGTTTTCAACAAAGATAAAAAGATCTGGGAAACCACAGGGTTTCAGCAGTAAATAAAATACTTCAATATGCACTTAGGTAAATGTATGAATAGCTAGAAAGTCAAACATACATAAAATATTCATGTGCAATACAGTACTTTTAAACTAGAAGGCAAAAAGTGATCTTCACTTTTCAGCTGCTGACATGACTTCTTTGCTTTATGTCTGAGAACATATTAAAATCCTGTATTAAAGGGATTTCAAATCAATGATTTGGGGGGAGAACAAGACGCAATTTTATAAGTCTCTTCACAAATTCTCTGTATCATTAGGCACTTTGTCTCCTGTAGCTTTGACCCTCAGACATAGCATCCTGAAAAATATCCAGAATATCTACACAGATAAGATTAATATTTTGGTAGTGGAATCATTTACAACAAGCTCCAGGGCGGGAGAGATTTTAAGAAGCGTGAGAAGATGTGTGCCCTCCAAAACGTCATGCAGGGGAAAAAGAAAAAGCAAAACACAGCCCTAAGCACAGCTGAAGTAAAAGTTTCTGAGCTGCTCCTTTGGAGATTCTGAGCCAGCTGGGTCAGAGTGAGGCCCAAGTGGCTCTTCCGGCAGGAACACTGTTACAACCGAGTGTGAGCGTGGACGGTGCTTTTCTGATCAGGCCTCCGGGAGAATCATCAGCTCCCACTGATTAGCAATGGCTTCCAGGAGGGACAGACTGAGAGGAGGAAAATTACTAAGCCTAGAGAAAGAAGGCTGGGGTTTCTAGCAGTGTCTGCTCCTGAAACAGGAAGAGTCTTACTGTGGCCCAAACCTTGCCAATGATTACTGATGTGAATACAGATGGTTTGTGTGAAAATTAAGGGCTGAAGGGAAGGAGACGAGGGAGAGAAAGAGGAGTGGGAAGAGAGGACAGAATGGAAGATTCAAGACTACATGAAGTTGAAGTTTCTGGCATTTAGCAGAATAAACTTTACCATCCATAAAATACCTTCTCTGAAAATATCACAGCTTTCTAAAATTATAGTCAACACTCAAGTAATTATACTCTGGCTCAGTTGCCTCAGATAAAGAGTCAGAGGTAACAAAGAATACCTGATCTCTTAAAATACGGTACATTTAAACACTCAGTAAGATTACATCCAGTATTTAGAAACAAATTGATTCTAGAGAACACCAACCAAAAGCTGAAAAACAACCAACAGCTTGAAACCACAAGATACCGTGGAAGTTGCTTGATGAAAATGGCCAAAAAGTTCTTACATTCAAGAATAATGTAAGGTTATCATCAATTTCTTTGCTGAGCTCTGTTTCTTAAATTCAGAAATGAAGATCAGAGACGCTCTCCCATTGCTGTTCCTATTCAGGTGGCTTCCCAAGACAGCTGTGGCTCCACCCGGTGATACAAGGATGTCACCACTGCTCCATCGCACATTTGCTAACTTTCTCCCACCAGTAACATCGCTTCTCTCCAACCTCTTTTTCGTCAAGTTGAGTCTTTCCTGGACCCCAGTGGGAACAACTACTACATTATCCAGTGACTTCAGGGTGAATCTATGATCTTACAACCACCTGGGGACTTTGGCTCACACCCTTCACTTCCCTTTCTCCTAATTCTAGGTTAAAAACAGGAACAGAGAACAAACAACCTTCTGGAAGCCACAAGAAAGAGAGGTTGCCCTAAAAACAAATGGAATAAAAGCTTCCCCAGGATTCTAGTGTGGGACTGATTCACCTGTCAGCAGAAGAGATTTCAATAGGACAGCATGGGGTGGGCTTGTAAGTGGGAAATATGGGGATGGGGTTAAGGACTACTGTACGTGGTATCATGTATTTGTGACTATGTGACTCCAACAACAGATGCCTTGTAGTTGACAACATTCTTGATTCATGGTAATTTTAAAATAATGCATTATACATTGTTAATCTAATCTTGGAAAACACAGATGACCCTCAGCATCAGCCATCAAGGGTCCTTAGCCACACAGTATGTAACCATTCAGAGGAAACTGGTGGAATTAATATCCTGTAGGAAGAAGCATTTTCACTTTTGCTGGAGTGGCTGCATGTTTGTTTACAAGTATGCTGGCCTACTTCCAAGGTTAGGAGACAGTGGCTTCATTCATCTTGGCCCAGACTACTTCTTGTTCATCATCCCACTCCCAACACATGGGCCTGAAGTGTGTGCAAAGGGAGAAGGGTCTGGAGACGCGACACCACACACAGCTCCAACTGGGAGTTGACTAAACTTCTATTTGGGTCCGGTATCTTAGTGTGAAATGAGTGTGCAAAAGGGTGAATGTTGAAGACAGTCATGCTGTGAAGCAGTTACTCTTTCCCAAACACACACCCAAAATAGCTAATCCAAGTCAGTGAACGAACACATATACTCACATTGGTTATGTTTCTCTTTTTCACTACATGGCAAAAGCCCTCGAACCCACTGACACCAATGAAATTCCAGCACTGAATACAGGACAGAATCAGTTCAGGAAGACCCTAGAAGTCCTCAGTTCTGCTCTGAGTCTTTCCTTCATTTCTGAGAGCATTTCCCCTTATCTTAGTAGTGCCTGCAGAATCTCACAGAAGAGGTCAGAAGGCCTCATGAACTTATATTAGGCCTCCTGTCAGGGTCTCCGCCCCTTCTCCACAGGTTATTCACCCTTGACTGGCCCTTAGGATCACCTGGGGAAAATTTTAAACAAAGACCAACACCTGGGGTCCCTCACAGCAGCTCAGGTGTGCTAGGTCAGGGTGGACGCCCAGACACCAGAGTTTGTAAGAGCTCCCAGGGAGCCGTGGTTGGGCTGGGCCTGGGATTGTAATCAACTGCTGGTGGCTATGCTTTTCCTGTATTATTTTTTAAAAAGATAGCCTGTTTTTACAATAACAGTAATGTCTTTATGTCCCCCTCAGTTTCAACTAGATATTGAAAGAGAATATCAAATGTTAAGCAGATTTTCTTCTCAGAGAGGTTAAAGGTGATAATTATTGAAGTGTCACAAGAAAGGCTAGTTCTCATGCATTTCCCTAATGAAACACCACAAGTGAACTCAGATTGTGTTTACATTTTACCTAGATGCCATGCTGCAAGTATTCAGTGCATATATTACTAATGAGAACTCTCAGTAAAGTACACCAGCTCCATCACTGAAAAAATACTTTACATGATCTAGCATTAACATGTGACAGTTTTCCGCATTTTCATAAGCCCGAAAGACTAATCCCCTAGCACAGGAATACTTTTCCCCAGTAGACTCTAAACAGAGCAAAGCCATGTAACAACCACCCGCTTATTCTAAAATTAAGCTCCTCCTTTTTCCTTTTTTTTCTTTTTTAGTGTGGGGGGAAAAAGCCTATGCTTACTACTTTAGTTATTTTCAACCACTGATCTGCGACAGTACAAATGCATGTGTAAATGTAAGTAAACGGTCATTCTGATCATTGCTTGTAAACAATGTTAGTATGAACTCACTCAGGGTCACTCTCTGCTCCTTTCTTCACTTTTAAATTTTTTAAAAATTCACACCAGTGGTTTTATTTTCATGGCTCCACATGTCAAAAATGTGACAAGGACGATGGAAGAGGAGATATCCAGTCTGTGTGTCACTGCAGTGGGGGAAGCTGGACTGCTCTGCTCCTGGCAGCATTCCCGCCTCTCAGCAGGACTGGACACACAAGCCGCAGGAACTCATGTGCCCTGGCTGTGCTTAAGGGGGAATGTTGTAAGGTGTTACACCGCCACACAAGTGCATGGCCAGCATGCACTGCGCTAACCTGCTCTCTGGGATGGGGAGACAGCTCTGGACAGAGCTTGTCCCTTTACTGCTGTTCTTCCCACTTCTCCTCCACATCAGCATCGCCTTAAGGTTTAGGATAGTAACACAGGACACAAAAGGAGGGCACGGCATTTGTGGGTTTGAGGATCTTGCCAGAGCGTGGGTTATGAGTAGAATGATTTAAGACCAAGAATCAGCTGGGGCCCGCGCACTGCCTGTCCCAGAGGGCTTCCCCAGGACCGTGGGAGTCAGCAAGATCTGCACGAAGAGCGTGGACACAGCACACGTGCAAGCACCCTTTCAAGTTGCTATCGTTACCTTGGCTGCTTTAAGGATCGGGCTAACAATACCAAGCCGCACGAGTCACGCACACACCCGCCTCCATAAAACACCTGCAGCCCCTCGCTGCTGGGAAAGACCTATCCAACTCACTTATTAACTCACTTTGATCCCACAGGAGTAGCAGAGGACTGTATTAGCAATCCCTTTTTATACATGAGAAAATTGAGTCTTAAAAGAAGTCAAATAACTTGCTGGAGTTTATGGGGCGGGTAAGTGGGAAAAAATAACATTTTCGATCTTGCGGGTACTCTACAAACATTTCAGACATCCAAACGAACCAAGTTCAGTTTCATTTCCTAAATCTGCCCACTGTCCACAAATCAACTTTCTTTCTGCT